ATTCCTTCCTTCCCCACAAGGCGGCGGTAGCAGAGCCCCTACACAGACTCCTGGACAAGCGGGCCCCTTGGGTGTGGGGCCAGCGCCAGGAGGCCGCATTCCAGGCAGTCAAGGACTTGCTTGTCTCAAACTCGGTCTTGGCACACTTCGACGAGAGGCTGCCGGTGGTGCTAGCATGCGACGCCTCGCCCTATGGCATTGGCGCTGTCCTGGGACACCAACTCCCGGATGGAAGAGAGGTACCGGTGGCATACTTTTCCCAGACACTCAACGCAACCAAGCGGAACTACTCGCAAATTGACAAGGAGGGGCTGGCAATCGTGAAGGGAGTAAAAAAATTCCATGATTTCTTGTATGGGCGGCCCTTCACCGTGGTGACTGACCACAAGCCGTTGCTTGGCTTGTTTGCCCCCCGAAAAGCAGACCCCCCAAGTGCTGTCTCCTCGCGTCCTCAGGTGGTCAATTTTCCTTGCCAGCTACCAGTATGCACTAATTCACCGTCCTGGGAAGGCGATAGGCCATGCGGACGCCCTCATCAGGCTACCACTACCGGAAACAGGCCCCGACCCAGCACCTGCACAAGAGGTTATGAGCCTGGAGCTGCTTTCCGACCGCCCCATTCAGGCACAAGAAGTTGCACACCATTCCAAGAAAGATAGGGTCATCTCCCGGGTCCTGGACTGGGTGTGGAGGAGATGGCCCAGCAGCAGCCCCGGGCCAGAATTCGCCGGCTACACAACCCGCAAACATGAACTGTCGGCCCACAAAGGGTGCCTGTTATGGGGAAGCAGGGTCGTTGTTCCCCAGCCCCTCCGCAAAAGGGTCCTCACAGCCCTACACGAGACACACCCAGGGGTAGTAAGAATGAAGGCCCTTGCCAGGAGTTATGTGTGGTGGCCGGGGATCGACGGAGAGATAGAGGCCTGGGTCAAACACTGCCAGGCCTGCCAAGAATCCCGCCCAGATCCCCCAAGGGCCCCAGTCCAGTCCTGGGAGTCTGCCCGAGCACCATGGTCACGCCTGCATTTGGATTTCGCTGGCCCCTTTCAGGGGAAAACATTCTTCATAGTGGTGGACTCCTACACCAAATGGCTAGAAGTCGCACTGGTACCATCCACTTCTACGTCCGCAGCCATCCGGGTACTACGCAGGCTGTTTGCAACCCACGGGCTCCCTGACACTCTCGTCTCAGACAACAGGACTGCATTTACGTCAGGAGAATTCCAAACCTTCACAGCGCAGAACGCCATCCGCCACATCCGTTCGGCGCCATTCCACCCTGCCACCAATGGCCAAGCAGAACACATGGTGCGGACCACCAAGGACACCCTTCGCAACATGACGCAAGGAGATTGGGAGTACCGCCTTGCCACATTCCTTCTAGCACAGCACAGCACCCCCAGCTCAACGACTGGCCGTAGCCCCGCTGAACTACTAATGGGTCGGCGCCTTGCAATCAGATTGGACCGCCTTCACCCCAATAGAGCTCAGGATGAGGTAGTGGTGGGGGAAGGCAGGAATCCCCGGACCTTCGAGGCCCAGGACCCAGTGTACGCAAAGAATTTGGGGGCAGGCCCAGCATGGGTACCCGCCACAGTCACCAGGGTCACTGGCCCCGTGTCGTACGAGGTGCTAACAGATGGGAGGCAATGCTGGCACCGCCACTGCGACCAGATACAGCGACGATTCCCGGGAGAAAACCAGGAGGAGGACAGGTCAGAGGAGTCCCAAGGGAACAGTGGGGCAGTGAGGCCCATAGAGCAGGAGGGGCCAGCAGGAGAGGCAGAACCAGTAAATACAGAGAGGACCCGCGAGGCCGAAAGTACACCGGAACCAGAACCACGACTGCGCAAGCCGGTTGCGCCAGACCAAACAGCCCCATCACAGCCGGCATCCTTGGAACATGAGCCAGAACCTGAACCCCGGACCAGGGAACACCCCAGGCTGCAACGCACACGTAGGCCGTCGGCGTACCTTGAGGACTATGAATGCGACCTCCCGGGCAGGACTGGAACTTAGAGGGGAGGGGTATTATGTACTGAGTTGAATAGGATCCAAACTGCAGCAGTCTGATTGGTCCTAGAACAATAGGATCCAAAATGCAGCAGTCTGATTGGTCCTAGAACAATAGGATTCAGAATGCAGCAGTATGATTGGTCCTAGAACAATGCAGCAGTATGATTGGTCGGCAGGAGCCACCCAATCCAGCTCCAGATAGAAGTGAATCCACAACCTGTTTGGCCTACAGGAGAATTCCGGAATTAGCCAATCATGTGCAGCCCATTGTGTAAATAATGTATATAAGGCAGATACTTTGAGGGGACATTCATTCATTCCTCCTCACCACTATGAGCTGAATAAAGAGCATGAAATCACTTTGCGACTCTGAGTATATTTCAAATATCGTGGGTGAATGAGTGTTTTTACCTTTATTTTACCCCTTTAGAGGCTGTTGGAAGAGAGAGAGAGAGAAGCGGCTCTCTTGTTGAGAGAAACATTTTGATCCAGAAATTTTTGTACCTTCATAGTGGAGGAGGAAAGTGGAAAGGCTCCTCAACTAAAGAACAATCCCAATGTCTCTGCCCAGTTTGCTCACATCCCTGTTTGTTCTGAGGAAACAGGGTTACCATACATCTGGAAAAGCTCAACAACTTGGCCAAAAAAAGCTCAACAACCGTTTTCACTTTTTGAAATAATGGCAACCATAATCTCTCCACATAGACAACACTGGAACTTGTTAGATTCCTCACATCTCACCTTTTAAGTCCCTGAGGTAGGAGCGAACAGACACAGACAGGTGGAAGGCTTAAAGGAATCTCTTTGTAACCCCCCAACACAGACAGAACACCCTGGATGTTCAGATACCCACAATCCTAATAGTGGGTCAGTGTGTGGCAGTTTTTATTTTGCTGATTTTGGCTAAGGAAACAGAGCAACTGTGCATCAGCAGGGAACTGGAATGTGCCTTCCTGTCTTTTATTTTTTAAGCCAGGAATTTCTCTTTCATATTGTCCACAGAAACACATGACAAACCATAGGGCTGAGGCAGGCTGTGTGCTGTTTATGCAGTTTTATGAGCATGGCTGAAACAGAGCGGAATACATCTGACAATTATTTGTAAACAAACCTTTCAGGTTAAAAAGTCCAGCTGTGCAATGATTTCATTCTCGATTGTGATATAGGCTTCTAAATCAAATCACATTAGAAGCTGAGGTGGAAAAGGAGAACTTGCATCAGTGAGATTGCAGTCACAGGAAATGTCCTGCACAACATCCCAACCAATATTTGACTCAAACACATTACAGATGTTGGTGGGACACACAAAATGGCCTCCATAGGAAATCACCCATTCATGGACATGTCAATATGGAGGAAGGTGTTCTGGTCCAAAGCTATATATGCCCTTGGAAATAATAACCTGCACTTTTGAGTTCCTCCCAGAAACTTTGGGTAAAGGGCTCCCCTGACCATGGTTTTCACCTGAGTAGTCAGGTTCCAAGCCAGAATCAGCAGCATCCCTAGACTGTGAAACAACATTTTCAAAGGAAGTGCCCCTTTCAGCCCTGCCCTGTCAAATTTCCCCCATGAGGCTAGATCTGATAAGAATTTAGCCTGTGGAACCAAAAATGTTCCCCACACCCTGGCATGGAGCATTGGCAGTGCCACTCTTTTTATGAGGCATATGACGCCTCTTCTATTAAAAACAAACAAAAACAATGGCTTCTTTATAAGGAAGTTTCTCACAAAAAGATTTTTTTTTCACACCAGGGGCCTCTCTCTATTTCAGTATGATTGTTTTTGATTTCTTAAATTTTAAACCCCAAAAGAGAAGAATTTGAAGTGGTCCTCTCAGACTTGCTAGCCCAAGGAATCTTTCCTAGTCACTGGGATCTGGTAAGGCAAACAAAGAATAACCCTTACAAAATCTTTTGTTTTGTTTTTTAATGTGCAAAGGAAGGCGTTCTTGACTCCATGATTGTCACAGTCCTTCTTTCGAACCAGGAATGTCACACTGGAACCATTAAATTGCTCCCAGGTGCCTTTTGTGCAATAGTAGAATGGATAAGGGCAGGGTGCTGAGGGGCTCAACATTGGGGTTCACCATTCTTCGTCATGTCTTACACACACACACACACACACACACACACACACACACACACACGTTTTCAGAGAAGCCGCCAAGCAAACCCTTCCTCTCACCACCACATCCAGCCATTAACTCTCTCACTCCTTGTTGTCCAGAATTGGAAACGGCTAGAAAGGAGACAAGCAGCAAGGCAGAAGAATCTTATTTGTTGAGAATGTCCTGTTTGTTTAGAGGAGGAGGGGTGAGCAAATGTTCACATATCCAGTATTGGTTCATAGAGAATATGAAAGGTCGGTGGGAGAGGCTGGGAACTGAAAACAACAACAACATATGGGTAAGAACATGGGATAAAAGCCACTTGTAGTGCGGTGTAATACACTGAGAGGGAGAAGCAATTTGGAAAAGAAGGAACAGGTAAGGTTGCCACTATTATTAGTAGTATTAGTATTAGTATTACTGCTGCAGCTGCCACTAATTCCACTACTGTTGCTGTTGCTGCTGTTTATGAATGAATGTATACCTCACCAAATACCCCTGATGAGACCCACAGGCTGAAAGTCCCTCATGAGCTGAACTGAAAACGATGAGAAATGCCCACACGGTGCAAACAAGACCTCTCTGTTTTATTCCCTAGGGTAATTTACAAGCTTTTCGATCGGAGCAGTCATGTCCAAACAGCACCTCTTCCTTGCAGCCTTCCTCCTCCTTCTCCTCCAACTTCCACCAACAACTCCCAGCCCCTGCCAAATATTCCACAGATCCATCTGCATGAAGCAGGACAGCTTTGTGCCCGGCCACAGCTTCATTGGCGAGGGGGTGGACATCACCTCACTGGAGAGAAAGGGAGCGTTTGTGGTGGACACCAGCCAATGGCAGGGCCCCAACGGGGTGCATCCTCTGCCGGAATCCCTTGATGAAGGGGAAGCTGCAGAAACTCCCCTTGGCTGGCGTGGACTGGCGAGTACTTCATACGTGTCATCAGGATGTCAGCAGTTCCATTGAGAATTTGGATGTGGATGTCGCAAATTCAATGGCCAAGGAGGTGAAGAACGACTGGAAAGCAGAGCTGGGGTTAGGCACAGTGTTAAGCAAAGCAGGGCTGGAGCTGCCTAAGATGCGGGTGGCCCTTGCTGGATCTCACTCCTGGATGGCTATTTATGCACATGAGAAATCCCGCCAGGACAGCCATATTTTTGTGAGGCAAGAGGTCTCCTGTGCATACTACAGGTGAGCACCAGTACCCTACAGAGCCATACAGTGGTACCCCGCAAGACGAACGCCTCGCAAGACGGAATCCCGCTAGACGAAAGGGTTTTCCGTTTTGGAGGCGCTTCGCAAACCGAATTTCCCTATGGGCTTGCTTCGCAAGACGACAGCCCATAGGGAAATCTCAGGGACAGCGGGGAAGCGCAGCGCGTCTTCCCCACTGTCCTCGGACCTCCTCCGAAGCCTGGCGGCGGGGCGGGGACACCTCCTCCCGCCGCCGCCGGGCTTCGGAAGGCTCCTCCGAAGCCGGGCGGCGGGGTGGGAACACCTGCCGCCGCCGCCCGGCTCGGGACGGTGCTCCGAGCCGGGCGGGGGAGGGAAGACCTCCCGCCTCTGCCCGGCTTCGGAACGGTGCTCCGAGCCGGGCGGTGGGGAGGGAAGACCTCCCGCCTCTGCCCGGCTCGGGCGGTGCTCCGAGCCGGGCGGGGGGAGGGAACACCTCCCGCCGCCGCCCGGCTCGGGCGGTGCTCCGAGCCGGGCGGGGGGAGGAAGACCTCCCGCCGCCGCCCGGCCGGACGGTGCTCCGAGCCGGGCGGGGGGAGGAAGACCTCCCGCCGCCGCCCGGCTCGGACGGTGCTCCGAGCCGGGCGGGGGAGGGAAGACCTTCTGAAGGCGGGCGGGGGCGAAGTCTTTGCTCCCCTGCCTGCCTGTCCCGGAGGGCTTTTGAAGGCGGGGAGCAAAGACTTCGCCCCCGCCCGCCTTCAGAAGAGGTCCAGGACCTCTTCTGAAGGCTGGCGGGGGCAAAGTCTTTGTCCCCCTGCCTGCCTTCCCAGGGGCTTTAAATTGCCCCGGACAGCGGAGAAGTCCTCCGCTGTCCCGGGGTGATTTTAAAATGCCGCCCGCCAGCATTTTAAGATCGCCCGGACAGCGGAGAAGTCCTCCGCTGTCCCGGGGTTTTAAAATGCTGGGGGTGGGAAGAAAAGCCCTTGCCCCCCCCCCAGCCTTCAGAAGAGGTCCGGGGACAGACTGTCCCCGGACCTGGTCTGAAGGCGGTTTCCCTAGGAACGCATTAATTGATTTTCAATGCATTCCTATGGGAAACCGTGCATCGCAAGACGAAAAACTCGCAAGACGAAGAGACTTGCGGAGCGAATTAAGTTCGTCTTGCGAGGCCCCACTG